CTCTCGAAATACTCTCACACGGCCACGCGTATACAGCCTCTGCCAGGGAAGTCCTACTGATTGCCTTCTCGTGGCGGGGGTGTTGTTTACAAAACTGAGAGGACGAAAAGCGAATGTCCGGCGCTTTAACCGGATCCCAAACCAATGGTGCACATGGGCTCCAGTATCCTGCGGGAACAAATGGCGTATGAACCAATCGTTGGTCACCGGCTACCATGGATTGCATCTCCTTACGATGCTTCACTACCTAGTGGGTTAGATCTTTAGGTCAAAGGCTCGAGGTGTGGCCCCCTAAGATAACCACCTGCTTCGGTTCGGGCACCCGGGCAGTATCACAGCCCACACACAAATGATGAACTCTTTATGTCTATGGAAATTACTTTTCTCGCTTCGAAAAACAACCAATTGATTCAAATTATTATCATTACAATTATTGTCATTATTAATACTATTATTATTATTACTATTATTGTCATTATTATTATTATTATTATTATTATTATTATTATTATTATTATTATTATTATTTTCCACATTATTCACCCTCTTTTATACTTATACAGCGGCTCGTCTTTGGTGGAAATTCGACACTATCTAAACGTTCTCGAGTCGCTGTCCGGTTGAAAGTTGTATGTTAACAGCGAATGCGAGAACTGACACCAAAAGATTGGTGTCAGCAAGTTGGTTGCAACTTCTGTTGCAAGTAAGTATCGAACCGAGCTAGCCTCTAGGCTAGCTACCTCTCCACCAAAAAGTATAGATGAGCATTGGTTGCAATTGCATGACACCATCAAAATGGCGGGTACAGTCAGTTGTGGGTTTGCGAAACGTCCCGCTTATAAGCACTGGGTTTCTTCTGGTTCCTTACAACTCATTGAAGACCATCGGTCTACTCCGGGTGACCGTGAGTTTGACCATAAACGAAGGATGTTACGTAAGGAAATTGGGCAAAGCTTGCGTAAGGACCCAGAAGCCTGGTGGTCGAAGCGTGCTAATGAGCTGGAAGCAGCAGCTGCATCTGGTAACTACCGGAAGCTCTTCCAACTCATCCGAGCCACTGGCAGCAAGACGTCTGGTGTGAGTGAAACAATCTGTGAGGATGATGGGATGCCAATCACTAACATCCATCGACGTCTTGGACGATGGGCAGAATTTTTCGAAGGGCAGTTCAACTGGCCTGCTGCTCCGGCAACATCGGTCAGACTGTCCTGCCCTCCATGGCCGGTGACGACCGATCCACCAAACGAGGAGGAAGTCCGCAAGGAACTCCAACTCTTGAAGCGTTACAAATCACCTGGCCCAGATGACTTACCTCCGGCTCTTTTTAAACATGGTGGTGACTTTTTGACTAAGGAATTGACGACGTTGTTTACAAAGGTTTGGGAGCTAGAGAGTGTACCAACGTCATGGAATGAGTCGATAGTTGTCCCTATCTTTAAAATGGGTTCACGTCGTTCCTGTAACAACTATACGGGGATAAGTCTACTTACGATTGCGTCCAAGCTATTGGCTTCCGTCATATTTCGTAGGTTGTTCAAAACCCGAGAATGATTGACTCGCGAGGAGCAGGCTGGGTTTCGTTCTGGTCGAGGATGTATTGATCATATCTTCACCCTCCGCCAAATGTTAGAACACCGCCATACTTATCAAAGGCCAACAATCGTAGTGTTTCTTGACATCAGGGCTGCCTTCGATTCGTTGGACAGGACTGTTCTCTGGGATTGTCTATTGAAGAGGGGTGTGCCTGAGAAGTTTATTAACATCCTAAAAGCCCTATATACTAAAACCTCAGGCAGAGTGAGGGCATACAACCACCTTTCTCCATTGTTCCATTCGAGCAGTGGGGTTAGGCAGGGTTGCCCAATCTCACCATTCCTCTTCAACTTTGCCATCGATGACATTCTGGAAACAGCTCTGACGAATGTAGGTAATGGTGGTGTGGATCTGTTGCCTGGAGAAAGACTTCTCGACCTTGAGTATGCAGACGATATTGTCTTACTGTGCGATAATGCCCAAGGCATGCAATCCGCACTTAATCAGTTGGCAATCAGTGTCCGTAGGTATGGTATGTGCTATGCACCTTCGAAGTGCAAAGTACTCCTACAAGACTGGCAGGATTCCAATCCTGTACTCACCCTGGATGGTGAGCAGATAGACGTAGTCGAGAAGTTCGTGTATCTGGGTAGCTGCATAAGTGCTGGTGGGGGTGTGAGTGATGAGATCAATGCACGAATAGTGAAAGCCAGAGCGGCTTATGCCAATCTGGGCCACCTTTGGCGCCTTCGTGATGTTAGTCTGGCCGTAAAAGGTCGGATCTACAACGCGTCGGTGAGAGCAGTTTTGCTCTATGCTTGTGAAACCTGGTCTCTCCGAGTTGAGGACGTTAGACGACTCTCTGTGTTCGATCATCGTTGTCTCCGAAGGATTGCTGACATCCAGTGGCAACACCATGTTAGTAATGCAGAGGTTCGGCATCGTGTGTTCGGGCACAGAGACGATAATGCAATCGGTGTCACCATCTTGAAACACCGACTTCGGTGGCTTGGACATGTTCTACGAATGTCGTCCCAGAGAATTCCACGTCGTGCATTATTTGCCGACTCTGGGACTGGTTGGAAGAAGCGGAGAGGTGGTCAGTGCATGACATGGTGTCGTGGTATGAAAGAAAGCTGAACAGGACTGGCTTCTGTCGGTCCTTCACGACTCCCTGGTTGGGGTCAGAGAGATGGTGCTACACAGTGGCTAGAGACGTTATCAGATATGGCTCAGAATAGAAGCCAGTGGCGATCCTGCTGTAACCTTTTACTTTCTTCATAAAAAGTGGTAGTGTCTCCCTTACCTGAAAGATTTCTTCTGATTGTACCTTTTCGTTCCCTCGTTACTACCACACTACCTTACACCAATCTCTTCGTTATTGTTCTCTTTTTCTTTTGCGCTCCTTAGTTTTTTTTCTATTTCTCTTCGAATTCTCATTGTTTTGTGTGGCGCATATATATTGGCGCTCTCTTGTACCAATATTCATGTGTTCAAATAAATAAATAATAAATAAATTAGTGGATAATTATTCAGTTAGGTCATTAACATTTATTTATTTATTTATTTAAACATAAATATTGGTACAAGGAGGCGCCAAATACATATACGCCACACAGATCTCATTTGATATGTGTGAGGGCTGTGATACTGCCCGGGTGCCCAAACCGAAGCAAGTGGTTTTCTTAGGGGGCCACACATGGAGCCTTCGAACTAAGGGTCTAATCCACAAGGCAGTGGAGCAACGTCAGGAGATGCAGTCCCATGGTAGCCGGTGACGAATGATTGTTTCATACACCATTTGCTCCCTCGGAATACTGGAACCCATGTGCACCATTGGTTTGGAATTAGGGGTTTCCAACTCCCTTAGGTGGATCCTCCAATAAAATGTATGTAAGCAATAAAATAGTGCATTCTGGAAACTCCAAGAATGGACCTAGTTTTATAATTAGTTCTTCGAAAAGACTGGACATGAGCCACGTGTATCTGCTTGAAAATATTCGGAATTGAAATGTAGTTTGTTGGATCACTAAATTCCAAACAAGCTTTTTAAAATCCATGTAGCCAGGTTTAAAATTAAGGTGATGAAATTTAGAACTGATAATATACTAAAGTATTTAACCCTCGTGGGGATGCCAAATGTACTGTATAAATGGTATAATCTTGCCTTTTGATCATATTCGAATACCGCACAGAAATAGAACACAAAAAGAACATTTCATCCTTCTTAATTTAATCTACAATGGTTTGAATTATCCTGCTATTGATGTTTTCACTGAAATTCGACCAGTCTAAATCGGCATATGCGTATCCTGTGCAAACTGTCACTATATAGAATTATGACACAATTTTATATAAAAAGATGGAATGTAGTAAGCACTGGGTTCGAGTCCCGGAGTGGGTGTCAGTATTAGGATGTAGGTGCATTCAGCTGATGAGTCCAAATTAGGACAAAATGCAAGTCCTGGATTCCACTGCTAACCACATTTCATTAATTTTATATAAACTTATGTCATAATGACTATATCGGGGAGATACGTACAGGATGCACGCATGACAACCAAGACAGATGAAATCTCAGCCAAAATATAAACTACATTCAATCCTGTTTGGTCGCCACGAAGGAAACATATCTCAAGTCACTTTCTTATTAAGACATTAGTTCAAAGTTGGAGTGTTATTCATAACACTTCCAATATGTCTCATTTTACTTGCTTTAGTAACAGCTTCTCTATGTTAAAATTGTTATTATCATCGACGTTGCGTCAGTTTGGCTGTTCGGTCTAGTAGTTAGGCAATTAGAACCGATGCATTATAGTACCATTTCCATGTAGATTTGATGTTCCCATTTATTGACGTTAACTTGGTTACCTACCATTCTTAAGACTAATCAGTGTTTCTTTATGGTAGGAAGCACTATTGGTCTGCCTTATGCAAACACTTAATTGTTTGTAGGATCAGCATCCAAGGGTTTTTTGGTATGAGAAAAACTATGCCTGGTGACTAATTCTTCATCTACCCTTAGCATTTCTAAACTCTCTAGGATAAATAATCCTGTCAATGTCCGATAAAGATGAAACACTTACCAAAGCAGGAAAGTCATTGTGAAATGTGTAAACAGATTGATAATTAGGTGTGATTAAGCCACTTGCACGAACGGACCCGGGTAATAATGGATTTTTGGTACATTTTACAGAAACGTCAGTTACTTCTGTGGGTTTATGATTATCAGATTCCATTTGTCCTCCCCAAGGACGTTGAATTCGATGTGGAGAAACAATAATCCATTCATCTAATAGTGGGTTATAACGTCTGTGACCAGAAGTTAGTAGATTAGTCATCTGAAATTGAGTGAACAATAGGTTAACAGAGGCTAGTTTACCACTCAAAGCAAAAAAATGAAGAAAAATGAAGCAGAAAGATATACACTTTTATTTTGATTTGTACACATCTTAAGTATCATGTTTGTTTTTAATTTTTTAGTGGCAACAAGTCAAATCCTTTGAGGGGTTCTTTACCTTCAAGTTCATGTAACCAATTAATATCTTCCTTTAATTGGTGATTTAATTTCTGGATTTCAGAATCATAAACTTTAATATCCTCCTCAATTGCTTTCCTTAATCCAACAGATGGAAACAGAAAGAACTGGTCAGATAAGCACGCCCACTGTTTATTTTCTGAATCCAATTGCATTAGCTTTCGCACAGCTTCACGTGATTTTTGCCGATTCCTGTCGTAAACTATGCATTCTTGTTGCTTAGCTAATACCATTTCACCAGCTTCTTCTATTTCTTCTAAATGCTTGATCACTTTATTCTGAACTGAAAGATCCATTTCTATTGTAACTGTCCTACAATAAAGTGAAATTAATAAATCAGTCAATCACAACGTACACCCGGAACGCATGTACATCAACCAGTAATTTCAAAGGACTAAAGCTTTCTGTCTAATACTATAGAGACCGGCAGAACCATTAATTTAAAGCAGAAGACCATTCACTGTGAGCTAAACCAATTGCACAGAAACTGATTCCCAACGTAGTTCTCACTTTACTACACCAACTGCATTGATAGATTATGATTCCTATGCATTGCACTGATCAGGTCAATCGCCACTAGGACTTTTGATTTATGCGTGTAACATCCAAAGCCTATTTAAATGGCTTTATGCTGCACTAAGGGTGGCTTCGTCACCATTCTTTTTCGAGACCTTAGCCCAAAAACTTACAATTTTGAGGTCCCTTTCGCCAGTGTCTAACCTAAGTTTTAGTTCTTTTCTGGCTCCTCGTCTTTTTACACGGTCTGCGCGGGGAAAGTCCTTACGGACAAAAACTCCTGACCCCTTTAGTTTATGTCCATCCTGTAGTATTAAGTACCATTTAATGGGAGATTTGAATACTACTTTGAGGCCTGGTTTGATTCTGTTACCTATTTTATACACTTTTAGCAAGGTAATTACGGAGATATCCTGAGGCATTAGCTGATTTAGTAGCTGTTTTATCAACTAAATGTCATGCTCATGCGCAACCATATATACTAAAACGTTTGAAGGCCGCAGTCATTAGACTCATGCAAACCTCTTGGTACCATCATTGGAATTCATCGCACTGTATGCCGCTCCCAACGGAGTATCGAGAACCTGGACGTTAACAACTGCTTTTTTTGCACTGTCTAACCACATAACAAGGGTTTTTAAAAACAAACTAGATACAATACCCAGAAACAAAAGAAATCGATGACCAAAAATAGTGAACACTGCAAATGGTTAGAACCAAAAGTTTTAGCAAATACAATAGAAACAAAGTACTCAAAAGTACCGACAACAAGTTAATTTAGAAAGAACGATAATCTTAAAGAATACTTTAACTGAAATAAATTCAATTCAAGTGTAAACAGCAGTCTTTATACATAATAAACGATCAAAACAATAAAATTTACTCGAAGAGGAAATATAACACTGTCCTCTTTAAATAGAGCTATTTGCAAGCGATTATAGAATATTTAGACAAGGAATATCCTAGGTAGTACCGGAAGTACGAGGCAATATACAATTTATTAGTGATTCGGATTGGAAGCCTGACCTTGTTCATCATTAAAGAAACTGGCTTTATAACTGTTAAAGATTTGTTCACAATAATCTCCTATCCCTTCACTTGCCTGTTGTGAGTTTACGTTTTCTACAATACAACCAAACTGTACTCATCTTGCATGTCCAGATTTGTTAAGCGCCTTCTGAAGGTCATGCGAAACGAGTAGGGTTTGTTACCATCTGCCGTCTAAACCATTCATATATATCGACCAAAAGCTCAGGAAACTGTAAGCTTGACCACAAGCATTGGACATTTTCTTGCTCACACAAGTAAGCAGTCCCTAGAACTTCATGCCAATGTATTTACTGATATTAAGTTATTTTCGGAATTTAATACGATCTTCAACTTAATGCGTATAACGGCAGCTTCCCAATGGACAATTGCTCAAGAACCAAACGCAATGTTTGCACTTGAGAAGAAAGATGACATGCTCAAAATTGCTTATTTGACATTTTTAGGCTTTCAGACGCAACTAGACTACCTAGTTATGCTTCCGTTTGGGCATCTGGGCAAACTCCCAACCCTCACAAAAAGCATTTGATTTCTGCGGAGTCTCTATATTTGGTGCCCCCTTGTACCAATTTTTCTGTGTTTGAAAAAAATAAAATAACCCAATTGTTCAGAAACTACCAACTCTCGTAGGCCAACACACATTCAACAAACCATGAGTACTCTGAATACGAAATGCCCGCCTTGATTAGTGCCACTCAAGGTGATGGAGGTAGATTTGACCAGGGTTCAGCTTTTCATCAGGAGGGTCAGGATGTCAAGCCACTGATTTTCGCGCACACGTTACATGTTGTAGAGAGTATTCGATGTCATTATTTATCAGCTATTAACAGAATTTTTCTCATCACACGTCAATATTTCTAATGCTTATGCTTGTTACACAGCTTTTATTCCAGTGTATTAGTAGTTTTGGTGTGTGATTCCTTGTGTGTGAGGCATTTTCTTCTTCATGACCAGTGGAGTATAAAGTGCAGAAATCAAACAGGTCTTGAAAATACTTTTCGAAAGTTTTCTGTGTGAAAACCTCTCCACTTATACACTGTTGTAACCTGTTCTCCTTGATCCCTTCGGATGTATATCTCGCTGATCATTTGATCCTGTCTGAGATGATATTACTCATATGTTATTGAAGACACTTGTGCGCTATCCGACTACACGGCACAGTAAGAATTCAAGAAGACAGAAACACTGTGTGACCCCACTAAGAAATCCCATAGCCTGAGAGAAAGTGAAGTTAACGCTGACTTTAAAATGTCGATTTCTTAGATTTCAAATGAGCCAGTAAATCAAAGGTGATTTGATACCTAATCGTTTGGGCTTATTGATAAGATATATATGGTTGACCCTATCGAAATATTTTGAGAAGTCAAGGTAAATGACCTCAACCTTCCCTTTGTGATCAAGAATGGTTGTCCATCCGTCCACTGCAGTCAGCAACTTGACTATACAGGAATTACCCTTTCTGAAACCGTGCTGTTGAGGTGAAAAAAGTTTAAGGATAATAAGTAGTCGTGTATACCGTCTCATGACGAGCATAAAGAGAAGTGCCACAGGTTGGTAGCTTGAAGGTTCACTGCATCGATCTCCTCTGAAACGTGGTGTGGTGTGTGCCTGCTTCAAAATCTCTCATAGTGTACCTTAGCTTAGAGAGTGTAAGAACACAATGCTAAGCGGCGTTGTCAGAATTGAAGCTTCTTCCCTCGGCATAGCAGAATGAACCATATCCGAACCAGGATAAATGTGTTTTCTCGGAAGCCGCTGTTTCCGATACACCAAATCAGCTCTCAGGTTCACTTCGGAGACTCCAGTGCAGTTGCAGATGGAGCTTCCATCAACATAGTTAATGTGAGTCGGTTGAACTGTCCGAGAGTATTGTTCAGCCAGAAGGTTAGCGGCGTTACCGTCGTTGTTGGTCGGACCATTAGGACTTAGTAATTGGGGAACTCCAGTTTTGGCTTGTAGAAGAGAAGCTGCATAACGAAATAAGCTTTTCGGATTGGAGACAAATTTATCGATGAGCTTTATCTGGTACTGAAGCCTGTTTTCTCTCATTGCATTTGTGCATATGTTTCTTATATGTTTGCATTGCATGTATGCGCCGTTGTTACCAGTTCGTTTGTATTACACCCAGCAGTGCCTTTATCGGCCTAGCAAACGAACAGTGCGGTTCTTGATAACTGTATGTTGCTTGTAGAATTTGGGGACCATTTGGGGAACATACAGTATTATAGCACATGAGATCGTGTGCAGTAAGAAATCTCACTGGACATCCACATCAAGTTGAGGGTAAACTTCCCAACCAACCTGTTGTAGATTTTCTTGTAAATCTGACACATTCAACCGTTTGAAATTCCAGAGCCTGTTGTTGTTGTTGGGATGTCTTAGCTCAGTTTTGCTGATAAAACTGAAGGCTATGACGGCATGATCGCTTTACCCCAGGCGAGCCAGGATTGAGAGTGTTAGGGATGTAGAGGAATATACCAATAATTATCATGTTAAGTCCAATTGTGTCCTTGGACTTTAAATGGACATTTCCTATTGGTCGATATTTGTTCACTTGTTAAATATTGTGCAAAATGTTGTTTCCTATTTCATGGTACGATGTGGTATGCTTGATTGGTATATAAGCAGAGTGTGTTTGAAATATAACGATTCATATCTCAGAGGTTGTGACTTGTGTTCTGGACTCAACTGGCTGGGCCAGACAGGGAGGCGGGACCAATCAAGACTCTAGGTCGTTCGTACGTGTTTACGTGCCACCGAACCGATCAATAAAACGCTACGCGTCTAACCTGCAAACCACCCGTTACAACAGAGAGGCTGTCAACTGGGAATTCTTCGTTTGTAAATGCATAGTCTCAGCGCTACAGCTCTGACTGTTTCTCCAACGAGTTGCCCACTTCACATGTTTCCCGAGTTGATAACTCTTGTCCTCTACATGGTTTCTGTGATCAAGGCAGTACACAAGTGGAATGATCAGCTCCAACTTGCCTTAGTGCTTGATCCTGGCATCATGTGGCCTATCCGGATGCATATGGATTCCAGATGGCAACCGACAACTGTGGCCACGACATGATTCCGGAATTGCAGCCGTCAATCGGAGGATTGGAAGGTTATCTTCATCAGCCGGAGTCCCGAATCTCCGTTCTCCTTGACTAGTCTCACCACTTGTTGAGTCAATATGATTTTGAGCTTCAGGGAATGCTTGATGAATTTCCATTCCCTTATATCAGAGTTTGTGTGATTAGGGTCCGTCTCTGCAGGTGCACCTTGCACAATGATATTTCTTCCGCAAAAGAGCTTCTCGCGAGATTTATCAGAGATTGAGCTCACAATACGGTTTGTCAGGCAGTATTCTTACGTCCCCATCTGGTTTCAGTAAGTGGCTGGCCAGTAGGATTTTCGTGGCTGTAGGTAACCCTCGTCGCGCAGTCACAGTGGAGCGTGTGGTTCTCTGTCCAGACAAACAAAGCTCTTCAACATTCAATATAAGATAATAGGAAATATAATACCTATATAAAGAAAGTGAACGAATACTTGAACACTATTGTTTTGATATATACTTATATGTTTGAAGTCAACTCTTAACCAGTCGACCTATGCTGTTACAGGACAATACTTACTGAGATTAACGATTAAAGCGGGGTCGTAGTCAACATAATCTTTGAGTGCAATCTTTAGTTATTTATCAAAATTATCTTGTAACATTCTATTTTCGTTTCTATCACAAACTTGCACTAAAATGTCTGAAAAAAAGCCAGTTCAATACGAAACCAGTTGTTGACTGTACTTTTAAAAGCTGGTGATGCAAATGTGTTGAAGATTTTGGTCGTTCATTTTATTCGCAAGTAACGTGTCTTAGATCCCATAAATAATTTGTGGCAGGAGATCATGTCATCATGATCCGTTTCGAGAATTATTATGTCCAGCGTCTTTTGGTGATACTAAACGACCAGGAGATTACTGGGTCACCTTTTGTAAGGTAATGTTATATCAAAGACAACCGTCAAAATTTATTGGTAGTACAATCCACCTAAACCTAATTGATCAATCAGATGAAAATAACAGCCTACCGTTTAATCTCAGAAGCAGATTCTTTGGTAGAAAATGTCACCAAGCCTTTTTATGATGATTGTGAGTATTTAAGTTATAGTACAAACTAGGAGTTCCAGAGATAACGCTTTTTGATCAAGAATAACTAGATGAGCACAAACGAATGCACTGTATTTGGAATTCGAAATCAAACATTCAACAAGTACAAAGGAATCCTTATTTCATACAAAAAACACCACATCCGTTACAGCTTTAATTGGAGTCTAAGTGTTTGCGATCGATTATACGTCCTCTTCTTAAGTTCATCCTGTGTCTGTTCCACAGTGTACTGGATTAAGACTCCTTATTGTCTAGAATGTACTCATTAGTTTTAGAATTAACAATCGAAATTAGACCAGACTCACGTGGTTCCTGGAATTGTATTTGATCAACGTGTCGGTTGTGTAGACTTAAGTCACTGATATCTAGAATTCGTACAATACATTTCCCAACATTCACCACAATCCCCATGGCTGGTCGAAGATCATTTCCACGATAATATGTGACTTCCGCAGACTCCAAACACCTTATATCCGAACGAAGAATCCTCCTTTTTATTAGTTTGATGTGGTCTCTTTCGCTACAGAATGTTGAGCATTCCTCTATTGCAGTAGACATATATCTACTTCCTTCTGCTGTTCATTAGATCTTGAAGTAGCAATGGAATTAATAGCAGT